TGATAAGTCAGAAGGAAATGCTGAGTTTATTCACAGGGTAAAAAAGAAAGCAATCTTCCAGATGAGTTAAAATTTCAGAAATTTTATTGATTTATATAGTCCTACTCTATAACCCTACTCTACAATTCTAGTCCACAATTCTACTCTATAACCCTACTCTACAATCCTAGTCTACAATCTGACTCTACGCTGGTCCTGATGTCTTCTCCTCTTTCCTCCTCTTCACTGAAATGATCAGCGGCACCAGGCTGGACACAGGCTCAGTTAATGTTACAAGTGGATGCTGCCCAAAAGGGAAAAAAAGAAATAAATAAAACTCAAATAACCATGACTTTCCAAGCTCAATGTTTCACAGCCTCAATCAGGATTCCTCTGGTCCCCAAACAGACCCAGAAAGGGGACCAATGGGGGCATCTGCACCTCCATCTTCACGTGCAGGACCTTGCCATCACAGGCAAACCTGGCCCAGAATCCCACTCATCCATTGATTCTTCTTTCTTCATTTTAGCAGGGCTCTAGAAATGGTGCTTTCTCTGCCAAGCTGAGAGAGCTGGAGTCATTCAGCCTGGAGAAGAACAGGCCCCAGGGACACTTTCTAGCCACTTTCCAAAACTTCAGAGTGGCTTCTGAGGATGTGCAGGACATCTTTTTGAATAGGTCCAGTGACAACAGGACATGGGCTAATATGTTTAAAGAAAAAGGGGATGGAATCAGAAGAAGTCTAAGGGAGAACTTGTTTCCTTGGACACACAGACAACACTAGCATAGGTTGTCCTAAGAGCTTGTAGATGCCCTGTCCCTGGAACAATTCCAGGCAGGTGGGAGAGGGCTCTGGACATCCTGATCCCTTTAAAGATGTCCCTGCTCATTGCAGGGCACTTGGACCACATGAGCTTTACAGGTCCCTGCCAGTCCTGCTAGAATTCCTCACCATTTCCATTTGAACAGAAGGAAGATTGGAGGTGAGATGGAGGGGGGCACATCTGATGCCTTGGATTTCAGCAGAGGAGGAGCCCATCCCTCAGACACTGTTTCACCTGCAGCCCCTTGGCATTTTACCTGCAGGAGCTCCTCAGCAGACCAGCGCTGTGCCTCGTCTGTCTGCAGGCAGCAGCTCAGGAAGTCATGCAGCAAAAGCGAGAATAGGTTGGGCTGTCACAGCTTTGGTGTCCCTCTTATGTTTATCAGGAGTTGAGGCTGGAGAAAAAAAAAAAAAAGAGGCTCCACCTGCTTCTTTCCCATCTGCAACTGCTCTCCCAGAGCCCATTGTTCCAGCTCCACTCTGCAGTGGCATTTTTTAACCTGGCAGAGAGGCAGAGATGACTTTCCTATACCAATAAAAAACTTAAACACCGAGGCAGCCCCAGCTTTTCCAACATCCTGCAGATCTTGCCTTGGCAGCTGATTTTCATTGACTAGTTCTCTGGTTAATGAGAACTCCATCACCAAATGCAGCTTTTGCTTCTCTGAGGATTCACACCAGCTTGTGTGAATAGCTTGACAGGCCATTTGGGAGGGGGAATTTGCTCTAGCTATACTATTTCCAAGGATTATTACACAAAAGGGATCACTGCCATGCTTGTTGGTCCCTTAAGCACAGCTTCCATGAAACAAAAATCATCAAGCTTTTTGTTCTGTTGAAAGAAATGCAGATGCAGAAAGCATTTAAAACAGACAGAAATGACAGTGGGGAGAGGCCTAGGAGTCTGCATGAAAACGCCCACCAGTGCTGGTAGCAATGAAATAGATGCTGACCAAGGAGACTTTGATCCTTTTTAAGCCAGAGGAAAACTTCCTTCACTTTTCCCATAGCAGCAGAGATCAAAAAGAAGGTTTTATCCCGTCCCTCTGCAGCTGAGCTCAGCTAGTGGGCATGGTGGGGAGTCCTCACTGTCACTAGCGCTGTGCAACCCAGGGATGGCCCTGCTCCTGTGCTAAAGGAACAGCACCGGCGTCAACCGCACCCCTTGGATCCCAGCCCCAGGCACCTGACTGCAGGCTCATCCTCCTGTTCAAGTACCAAGAAACAGCCGGGGCTTTGGCACACAATTCTAACTGCAGCTGGAGAAAAACACATCCTGAACTTATCCAGGCCACCCAGACACATGACAGAACAATGTACAGATGACTTGAAAGCCTGAAGGTTTAGAGTTCCCACAGGATTTGGAAAAGATGCTAGAATTTGGACAAAAATGGATGTGCTTTGTTTAATAAAGGAAAAAGCAAGCAGAACTACTTTGATTTTTGTATTTTCTGTTTACTTTTCCTTTTGGTTCTATTATTTTTCTTTTTCTTTTTCTGTTTCTTTTTCTTTTTCTTTTTCTTTTTCTTTTTCTTTTTCTTTTTCTTTTCCTGATTTTATTTTTATTTTCAATTTAAGTTTAATTTTATATTTTCCTTTTCCTTTTCCTTTTCATTTTCATTTTCATTTTCCTTCTTTCTCTTTCCTTTTCCCTTCCCTTTTCCCTTCCTCTTCCTCCCCCTTTTCCTTATCCTATTCCTTTTTCTTTTTTTCTCGTCCCTTTTCTCTTCTTTTCTGCTTTTCCTTTCCATTTCCTTTTCTTTATTTTCATTTTTTCTTTTTCTAGAAAATTGAAACCGGGAAGGTCCCAACTCCATCTCAAAGGATATTTATCACACTGCTGAACTCTCCACTGAAAAATTCTTCTTCAGAGACCAGCTCCAAGAATTTTCAAAAAGCAAAAGAAGAATGTCACGGAGGCCAGCAGGGCTGCAGGCCAAAATGGCACGTTTCTGAACTGGGTACTTGCCACTTGCCTGCTGATGTAACCAAACCTACAGCAGATGCTGGTGTGCTGCAGGGACAATTTTAGAAGGGGACCTTGGTGGAAGTAGTGCCAGCAGATGGCAATGGCATTTTGTCCAGTGGCACACAGACCATGGGACGGGTGAGAAAGTCAGCAGGATCAGTGAGTATTTGCACCTTACCGAGACAAGAGTTTCATTCCAGGAAGGAACTTCTCGTTCCACCATTTCGATGCCCACAATTCCAAAAGACCATATGTCCATTTTGGGGCCGTACGGGTGACCTGTCACGACTTCAGGCGCCATCCACCCAGAAGTGCTGGCCACGGAGCTCTGTCTCCTCTGCTCAGGGGTGAGCTGAGCAGAGAGGCCAAAGTCAGCTGTGGAGAAAACAACACACCATGAAAGGCAGC